ACAAACTAGAAATATGGGGATATTGACTCATCACTCTCATTATGTGGTTGTATTTCATATAAATTTCACGTGGCCCAACCTGTTGCTGTTCATCAATTAATCAAAGTATGTAGACAACAGTGAACCCACACACATACACACGGTCGATCTTTCTTTTTCTATGCTCGTGTCCCTACATCTCTAACCCCATCATTACTTCTTGTGTTTGATTGGTATGGTGAGCTGAAAAGATAGCTAGCAGCAACCCAACAACGCGGGTCTAGCTGAGTTTGAACTCATTCGAAACTAGTTACTCTTCTCACTATTTTCCAATTCAATTTAGAAATGCATGTATTGCATGATCAACCCTTAAGTTAGTACACATAGTCATTGTCGTATAAAGTTTCTTTATTAATTTTATTTAAATGCAGAATTTAAATATAATAAGATCTACAATAGATGTTTTAAACCTGCATCAACTAAATCAATCTGATCTGTACCAGTGATAATAATAATAATAAAATTGATCTACAGGTTGAACCAAATTATAATTTGACTATATGTATTTGAAAATCGAATCAAAATAGACCAAAAGAAAAATCAAACCAAAACTTGTAAGCTATTTACTTTAGTTTGGATTAGAAATATATTTGATAAAAATTTTGGACCAGAATAAAAAAATATATTTTATTTTTGTTACTTCCTGAATCAAAATATAAAAACACATTCTAAATCAATCGTAACTGGATTCAGTTTTACTTTAGTCGCTAATGCAAAATTAAACTCTTACTGTATTTGGTACCATCTATACGTACAATACATATAGGGATTTTTGTGCATGCTCTCTCCATGTGAGATTTATGCGGTGTATAATCAGAATAATTGCTGAATTTAATTGTCAATTAAAAAGGTATGTAACGAGAGATAACGAACATATCCCAAAATGGTAGGGTTTGATTTAATACTCATAAACTCTTATTAGAAATGCGAACAAACAGAATAAACTTTATACTTCCACTTTAAAATATCGAACTTATTTTTTTAAAGTATAATGTAGTTGTGATTTACTAGTTAGAACAAGAATCTTTACAACAGGAACACACATGGGATGTTAGAAGTAAGATTCGGATTCCAATAATCCAACGGTCAGAGAAAAAATCACAAGCAAATTTCACAACCGTAGGATCTGTTCCCTTAACCACCTTGTAATGCCGGTCTTTATTGATTTTGTAGAAAATTAAAAAAAAAAAAAAACAGCACCAAAATTTTGTCTCTCATGTGACCGACCACCGCATCCTCAGTTGATCTGTCTTTGCCCCCACTTTGTCTCCCCACACAAATTGAGTAAGAAGAATTTAGATATCAAACGACTTTACGTGTCACTCTCTGATTGGTTTTCATAGGTTTTATCGTGTGGACCAAGAAAGCAACATATATAAAGCACAACGCGGTAGTGCCATTACTACAATAAGAGAAGTGTGTGTGAGAAGAAATTTCTCATATTTCATAAATAATAAAAAAAAGTTAGGAAATGGAGAAAGATGGACTCGAGCTTGAGATCACGGAGCTGAGACTGGGACTTCCGGGGAGAGATGTGACGGAGAAGATAATGAAGAAGAGAGGCTTCACGGAGATGATAATGACGTCTTCTGGAAGTAATAGTGAACAATGTGAAAACGGTGTTGTTTCATCTGGTGTTGATGTGGAGAAGGTTAATGACTCACCGGCGGCGAAAACTCAGGTGGTTGGGTGGCCGCCAGTTTGCTCTTACCGGAGGAAAAATAGTTGTAAGGAAATGTTGTCTACAAAAGTGGGGTTAGGGTATGTGAAAGTGAGCATGGATGGTGTACCTTACTTGAGGAAGATGGATCTTGGTTCAAGCCAAGGTTATGATGATTTGGCCTTTGCTCTCGATAAGCTCTTCGGTTTCCATGGCATTGGTTAGTAAACTAATTATCTCCTTTCTCGGCTAAAGTAGAGTGGTAGTTAGGTCATCTGAAAAAAGTAATCGGTTGTACGAGTAATTAGATTAAGAACTAAAGCGTTTTTATACGTAATGCAAGAAATTATTAAGAAGAAACACATGTGGGAATGTTTGTAAACTAGGTTTACTAATACATGGTTTACATTTTGTAAGAGTGTTGTGATCATCACATGAATATAATATTTAGGTGGTTTAAGTTTAGTCCTAGCAAGTAATCTTGAGTCTTAGCGTTTGATGACCTGCTTAATCTTTAAAATTAGAGATTTACTATTCATTTACATTTCATTTTTTTCTTAAAGAATAAATAATTTTTAAACAAGAGATTCTACACGAGAAAAGTGGAGTTTCTAGTTGTCACAATATAATCAACACATAATTAATACTTACATATACATATGTGCAGGAGTGGCCTTGAAAGATGGTGATAACTGCGAATACGTTACCATATACGAAGACAAGGATGGAGACTGGATGCTTGCAGGAGATGTACCTTGGGGGTATGTTCATATCTTTTGACTTAGATTAGATCTCATATAAACTTATACGTGTCACAGTTTAAATTTATATGGGTTTGGATTTTTTGATTTTGCAGAATGTTCACAGAGTCATGTAAGAGGTTGAGGATTATGAAAAGATCGGATGCTACCGGGTTTGGGCTGCAGCCTAGAGGAGTAGACGAGTGATATGACTCCTTGAACAAGATGCAAGAGACTGGTTAAATAATGTAACCTTTAACTCGATCAAGATCCTTTAGAACATTTTTCTAATTCATGTTATATATAATATATGTTATATAGATATTCTGTAAGACAACTTCAAGTTATGTTTTTCATTAATATCTTCAGAAAGACAGCTATATATACAATACTTGTTTCTTGAGTGAGTTAAGACATTAATCTGTTCAAACTCACTGTTATTCGGATCCATAGTATATGTGTAGGCTAGCAAAATGTTAAGTTTCATTATTTCATAATATTTTAATCTATTTTTTACCTTTCCAATATGCTTATAACTTCATAAAAAATCATGTCACTATAATTCTCTTTTAAGCTAAGATTTATTCATTTATAGATTTAAGCTTATTCTCCTTATTTTCACCGGTAAAAAAATCCTCTTCATATTTAAAAGAATGATGTTTTGGAATTTATTTTTGTATATAAAAATTCATGTTTTGGACTTTGTCTGATGCACTTTTCCTTAAAACTAAAACATAAGTTGAAATTTAAAATCAGTGGTAAAAACTGAAGAGAAATAAAATTTAAAATAATTAATAGAAAAAATAATAAAAATATGTATTTACTTTTATTAATATGTTTACAAGTTTTAAACATTTATCTTTAAAATGAGAATTGAATTAAATATACCAAAACTTCAGCATGTAGACATTTTCTTCTATGTTTTGATTATCAAACAAACCCATATGGTTTATTAGTTGTTACAACTTACATGTATGACCTACCTATGTTTTATGAGTTGGTAATGCCATGTGCATTGCAAACCAGAAACAGAAAAAAAATTCAGCCCATCCCTCCTAGTTCTACTTTTTGTTTGGGCCAAACTAACTAGTCCTCTTGATTACATAATACTATAATACTTTTGGACTCGTTGTGGTGCAAGGCATTACATGATAAAAGTAGGGGTGAACACAAACTGAGTACTTGGTATTTTCGGTATACTTAGTACTCGGCTTAGCTTGTATGAGTATTCAAATTTTGGACTTGTATTTAATTTACTAAAAATGAATACTTACAGTTTTAAGTACTTGAAAAAAATTGATGGACTTGCACGTTACTTGCCTTGTTTTATTACTTGTTATTTATAAACTTTTTACAAATTACTTAATAACTATTTGTAAATTATTTGATAATTAGTTAAAATTTAAATATAAATTAATTTATTATATATAAATAATATGTCACTGTTTTCATTTTGTCATTTTTCCTGATTTTTGGTCATGCAAGAAATAAATTATATTAAGAAAGAAAAAATTTCAAAATGTTTGTATAAATATATCACTTATATTTGATTCACTTATAAAAATTGAATATAAACGAGTTGTTTTACTATAATTTAGGAAAATGTATCTTTGTTCATTAACAAAAAATGAATAACAAACCAAACAATGTTGAATAATTAGTTTTATTTTAATATTTTGTATTTGTTTGTATTTGAAGGCAGTTTAAATACACTATTTGATACACATCTTAGTCAAAACAAGTATTTGACTTTAATGATCGTGTACCAACCAAGTAGTGAACATGAGAACTATGACCACTCATAAAATACATAAATTTTAATTAATTATTGAAATATATACTAAGTATCTAATAAACCAAGTAATATATGACAAGTAACAAATAAAAAATAACAAGTAATAAATCAATTAACAAACCAAGTAGTTAAAAATTAATATGAACTTGATATTTGACTTGTAATTGCGAATATAAAATTTGTTTACTTGTTACTCTACTTGATTGGAATAAATACTTGTTTTTTTAAATCAACCGAGTCAAGTAACGAGTACACGTCAAGTATCAAATATTTGTGTCCAGCCCTTCATAAAAGGGTTAAAAAGCTTGCCCATATTAAATAAGGGGAGAAAATGTCTAAGCAATGATGACGAACTTTAGATGAACCTTGAGGTGGTTTTGGCGTCTTCACTCCCACCCTCCGGTAAATCAACAAAGCAGTCAAAGAAGTCTAGATGACCAATAGTATAATGCATGGTATCATGCGTGTGCATGTATATTTGAAAATTGAAGAGTTTAATAAGCAAATGTTCCGAAACATTTGAAAATAAAACATCGGCATATCAGTTTCAACGTACATCCATCCATCTATTAATTAATTCCACGACCAACACATTTCTTTTGGAGTTTCTGTAAAAGTCAAGGTCTTATTACGAGCTCAAGAGCCAACAAGGCAGTTAAAATAATAACAAACCACCTCAAGAGCAAACTAAACAAGCATAGCTAGATAGTGAATCAAATGATACACATATACATAGCTTTATTTATTTGCAAGGAATCAATCTTGTTTAGAGAGAGCAGTAAGTCTTGAGAGCCGATAAATCCCTCTTCTTGGTATCAGTGTAGGTGAAAGCAAAGTAAGCCTCAAAATCAAAAGGCTTATAGAGACGAGGATGTTCATCATCCACCATCTCCTCGGGTGCATTTATGATCAGGCCTTCTTTGGGAAGCAAGAACAGTCCAGCCGCGTGCCGATCTTCCTTTCCCGTTATAACCACACGGTGAAGCGGAGGAAACACCCTACCATTAAGTAGTAGTCCAGGGCCGGCCCGGAGGGCAAGCCACCAAAGCGGCCGCTTAGGGCATAAAATTTTAGAGGGCATATTTTTTTTTAGCTTTTGTATATATTAAGAATTTTGTTTGTATTTATATGTAAATATAATTTAGG